CTCAAATCAGTAATTAATCAAGGTATAATAATACATTAATGTAATGGTTGTTGACCAGTATTATTAATTGATGAATAATTATTATATTCCAGATATACTATCAACTGATACAAGTGTGACAATAATTAATAGACAATTAATAAAAGAAATAAAAACAAACAAACAATTAGAAGAAACACTAACAAGTAAGAATAATAAAAATTTATTAATTATAATTGAAATAATGTAGAAATACAAAAAGTAAAGGAAATTCAACAACATCTGTCTTTACCAAGAAATACTAGTTCAGGTTAGAATTATTAATTATTAATATTGCTATTATTATTATCATTATTTTGTTATTTATAGCATCATACAGAATCAGAAGAGGAATGAGAATGGAAATAGAACAATTGCAATTATTATTAACAAATAGTACTGGTACTGAATCATAATGTATGTGTTAGTGTATTATAATTATATTATGATAGGTTTACTGGATCAGAATGAATCATTAATAGATATTAAGAGAGAAATAGCTGAACTACAAGAACAGGTATCAGTAATGAGTGTACATATACTAAATAAAAGAGAAGAGAATGAAGAATATAGAGATGTAATAAAAGGTATGCTATAGTTATTATTTATTGATAATTATTATTTATTAATCAGAGTGGAGGGAACAACTTACAGTGACTTCATCAGCTGCAAAAGAAACTGAAACTGTTGAATTGATAGATGAAGATGATGATAAAGGTATGTGTCATTATTTCATTAACTGATTGATATATTGTATCACTGGTATAGTGAATAAACCAACAGCAGAATCTATTTTTATTGCTCGTTATGACTATCATGCAATGGAGAGTGATGAAATATCATTCAGTGAGGGAGAGCAGCTGGAGATATATGAGAAGGAGAATAATTTTTGGTGGAAAGGAAGATCCTTGGTGTCTGGTGATGAAGGATTCATTCCTAGTAGTTTTATTTACTCAATGTTGGAGTCACTTCAATTGTTAGAGTTTATACTGTCAGTGGAAGAAGTGTTCCTTCCTATTCTACAAAAGATAAGGAATGATTCATCTAGTAATGATGAGAAAGCTTCTCTTTTCTTGGAGACTATTAATGATGATCCTATTATGATACCTGCACTGAGACAAGACAAGGAACTACATGATAAAGGTAATATTTGTGATTATTGTGACAGTCAGTATAATTATTAATGAACATGTAATGTCATGTGTACATGCATACTTGTGTATGTAGCATGTACAATGTACATGTAATTTTATACATTATATTCCTGTCCCTACATATGTACACATTACATGTGTGTATGTATGTACATATGTATTGTGTGTGTATTTGTTTATTGGACTCGCGTAGGCGGGTACTAAGCAGTTGGGTTGTCATTACACTGGAGCTCGGAAAAGTTTGTTCCCATCAGCCTACTGCTTCATTTATCTTTTCCGCCGGAGCAAAAGCTAACAAAGTTGTTGAACTTAGGTCGGCACTCGCACAACTCTCTCATCGTGAAAGGAATCATAGCAAAAAACTAATGAAGCAATAGAACAAAACTTTATCTTTTATTATAATGTAAGAAATTGCTCCAACCATCTTCGTTTTCAAGATATGAGAGCCCAAATATTCGGCATACCTTGTGGCGAGGCTCTGTTCTCCAGAAGTAGCGGCCAGAGTCTTTAAACATCAGGGACTCAATAGG